CCCTCTCTCTCCCCCCTTCTCCCCCCTTCTTCCCCCCTCTCTCCCCCTCCCCGGTTGCGTACCAAGGCATTCCCGGGCAGCCGGTGCCGTAGACATCGCCACAGTCGACGTAATCTACTTTGACATCATCACACCCCCACGATTACCCCTCTCCACTAACCCCCTTACTCCATACACGCACATACACATACACACACGGGCCCCCCCCCCGGTCACCTACCGCCCGGCTAGCCGTGGTAAGGCCCACTTGGAGAGCCTCCACCTCCTCGCGAGATCGTACCAGAGCCAGCTCGTCCGGGGGAAGGGAGGCGGTGGAGGGGGGGGACTATCCCAGGAAGCACGGGGGGAGGAGAGGCGGCGGCGGCGCGGGGGGGGGGGGCCGCGGGGAGAGGAAGGAAGCGTGAGGGGTCAAGGGAGGGGAGAGAAAACACACGTGCCAGAATGTGGGCTGGTGTGTGTGGCAGTTTGGGGTATGGTAACTGCAAATTGAGGAGGGGGAGAGGCAGCCCCATTCCAGCACAGTCCTTGCCGACAAAGACAAATTGAAGGGTTGTAAAAAAAGAAAAGGCTAGAAGGAAAACCGGGGGCCCGTTTTCTCCTGTTTCCCCCTTGCCCGTACATGTACGGCAAAAAAACGACATGGCACGTTTTTGTGTCATGTCACACACACTCACACGCACGCGTGGAGGGAGAGCGGGGGGACACACACGCACACACAGACGCGTGCGCACACACACACACACACATACACATACACAAGCCACATATTAGGCAGGCGGCTGGCAGAGGTTAAGGCCTGACTTCTGCTCCCGGCCGACCCGGGTTCAAATCCGCCTGCCGGCTCCTCGGGTGTTTGAGGAGTAATGAAATGGGAAGTGGCCCCCCATCATATGGACGATGTAAGACGTGATAAAATCAACTTGCGAGCTAACCAGGAACTAAGTTGATGCGCCGTTGATCCGCTAGATTTGGTTGGATGCTGGTGGTGAGTTGTAGAACCCAACGAATACACTCTGAAGTCGGATGGGGTGAACGGATTAGGGTGCCCCTCTAGCAGGGGAGAGCAGGGACTGCCTCCAAGGGAAAGGGGGCCGCTGGCGAAGTTAACCACCCTGTAACGACATACATACAAGCCCTCACCCCCCCACTTGTCCGCACCTGCATACTCCTGGCGGTCTCCTTGATCGCCCTCATGAAATCCGTCGCCTTCTTCGTGGGTTGAGCTGCCTGTCAGAGTCGGGGGGAGGATGGGAGGGTGGGAGGGGGGGAAGGGGGGGGGAGATGTGAGTCGTGGAGAGGGTCCGGAGGGGGGATCACATAATGCAAGAAACAAAAGGCTTTTAACTGTCCCAACAACAATCAACTGCCCAAACCGACAACTGCTAAGCCCAAAGCCCATGCATACACAGACACAGAGAAATACATATATACATACATACGCGCATACATCACATACATACACACATACACACTGCCCACCTGTACGGGATCCGTGACCGCCCTGTCCAATCCCAAGACCTGCTTGGAAAACTTTGCCGTACCCTCCAGTACGGAACCCCCCAGCCCCATTGAGGGGGGTCTCAATGCCAACCAGGCCGCACAGTCCGCCAGCTCTCCATCCACCTCTAAGAACAATTGGAGCTCCTGATTATTAATTTACAGGCGGCCGAGGGGTGTTGGGGTTGTCGGATTGGGGGGGTTGGTGGTATCTGCCAAGTCAAGTCAACTCAACTCGTGTGTGTGTGTGTGTGGTCGGAAGGAGGAACGGAAGAGTGTCCCAAGCAACTTGGGGATCAGGGCTGCGGGAAAATGATGTGTAAAATCTTCAATACCAAACAGCCGTCCAAAAGCCCCCAGGACCCCCTCGCCCTCCTTTCCCCCCGCACCCCAAAAAACATCGAACTCCATTTCGCCTCCTCCTCCCCCCCCCTCCCCCGTGAGCCTCACCTCGCTGGCCCCAATGACCGGGTGGCGGGCGAGCTTGTTTAGGTAACGCTCCAGCGCGAGCCTGATCAGGTACGAGATATATAATAGCGTGTACAGCGAAGGGAAAAAAGGATAAAATGGGCACAAAAATATAAAAATTGGAAGGGAAGACACAAAAGAACAGTCGTGAAAGGAAGATAGATTTCAAACACGTTCAATTGTTGCCTCTGCCCGCCTCATCGTTTTGGAACCGTTTTATTCTACCGGTACTTTACATCGTACTCGGTCCTTTGCCGTCGGTGGCGAGGCAGGCGGCACAGGAAGTGGTGCATTAGAACCTCATCTAGATGCTGCCTCCGTTGCTGGTGTGCGCCCCCCTACCTGACGTCGGGGGTTTGACATCTTCTTGTAGTCAACTTTTTACTTTCCCTCCCCCTCAAACACCCCCCAGGCCCCCGGGGGACAAAAACAGACATATATACACACACACAGAAGCGCTTAACTCCAAGCGCTTAACACCCCCCCTCTTCCCCTACGCTCCCGAAACCCAATCACCCCCCCCAAAGCCCCTACGCTCCATTTCACCCCCCCCACATCTTTTATCCGTCTATACTTTACCCAACTGCTCCACACACTCGTCCGTGGTTCATCTTAATCCTCTCCCCCCCCCTTCACATACACACATACACACATACACACACACCTTCGCTCCTCCACGAACGTGTCCGTCATTCTCTGACCCTCCATCGCGTTCTTCTCAGGCCGGGGGGGCACGAAGTAGCCTCGGTACTTCTCCTGAGGTGTGTGTGTGTGTGTGTGTGTGTGTGTGTGTTTAAGGTGTTGGGGGTGGGAGTTGGGGGGTAAGACGAACCACCACTGACGACTGAGGCAGGTAATACCCCAGATAGACGGAACCTCCCACCAGGATTGGACGACAGATATACTGCAGGAGGACTTGCAATGAGTTACTGACCAATGATGACCGGGATAATGGTCTTGGCGGCGGCGACGTGGCCATAGCTGGGTTTTTTTTGCGAAACGAGTTACTCACTACCAGCTGCTGCCGAGTCTAAAGCTATCAAAGAATGCAGAAGGCGAGAAAGCGAGAAAAGACGACCTAGCCACCAACCTAGCACTACCTAGGGTGTGTGTGTAAGGGGGGCCGCCGGGCGCATGACTGCTACCCCCCTTTACCGCAACCCCCCCGTTTTCCGGAGTAAAGCCACACACATCCTTCATTCCCCCCGTCTTTTCGCCTGGCCTCCTTCCCCTCCACCTCCTCCTCCTCCCCCCCCTTGCTTTTCTTCCTCATCTTTGACAGCAAGACCCTGTTCGTTCCATTCCCTCCTCCCTCCCACCCATCCACACATAGCGGTTAACCCCCCCACATACACACATACACACATACACACATACACACACACCACCACCCATGGGTCAGTGTGACTTCCTCGCTTAGGACTCACTAGGGGCAGTTTCAGACTTTGGGCGCCTTCCGGCAGTTGATACCTTTTGTTTCCTCTTGCAAATGTTTCCACCGTCCAATCCCAACCTCACCACTCATGGCCCCAAACCCGGCCCCCACCCCAAACCCCCCCAACCCCTCTCCCGCTCCCCCCCCTGCCGACCTCTCGCATGTGCCACGCACAAATCCTCGCCCATGGTGCCGTACCTTCAGCAGCTCCGCCAGCGCCACAAACTCCCGGAACCTCCGCCGTACAGTGGTTCCGGAGCGACCGGGTCCAGATCCATTTCCTGGTCGAGCCTTGGCTTGCACCAGGTAGGTCACATAACCGCCTGCATGTGTGTTTGGTTACGTGTACGGCTATTTGTACGGCTGTGTGTACGGCTATGTGCATATCTTTGCCTTGTCATGAATGTGTGCTGTTTGCTTAACGTAATCCGGCTACGTTTCTATTTATGTTTGGGGCTCCCCTCATGCTCGCGGGAAGGGAAGGGTACAGGGAGGGAAAAAGTGTTGCTTGCTCGTCCCAAAACCAACATCGTGCTGAAAACTGCTTAGGAACCTCCGGAAAATGTCCACCATGTCGAAAGTGTTTAAAAACATGATGTGATTATAAATAAGAAATAAGTCGAAGATGTAAAAAAATTCTGAATCCAACCGGAACTGAACAACTCCCCAACGGGCCTTCTTTTTCAAATCCCAACCACCCTTTGGGTACCGACCGGCAAAAACATAAATCCTTCTAACTCCCAACCACTCTTTAACCGACTTGCCTTTAATTCCGAACAATCCGCCCAGCTCTCTCTTAATGGGCTCGCTGACGGTGATGATCTGGGCGTTATGCGAGCTGCCGCCGCCGCCACGGCCGTCGCCGCCACCTTTGCCTGACGGCGGCGGCGACGTCAAGCTACCGGGGGCTGTACTTGGGGAGGGGAGCTGAGCGGACAACGCCTGCAATGAGATGGGGGGTTGCGGGGCAGCGAAACACGCAAGTGAAATCTATGGACGTCGTACAAGGCCCCGTACAAGTACGAAAAGCCGTACCTGTAGATCATCCAGGCGAAAGTTTCCAGATCCGGGCAATGCCAGGGGACCCAGCGAAGGCGCTGCCGACGGGCCACTCGCGGCGGCGGGATGTCGTACAACAGGCCCGCTCCCCGCCGCCGCCGGCTGTGATGCTCCTGTACCCATGCTCCCGGCGGGCGGCGGGGCCACCGCCGCCGCCGCCGCCGCTGCCTCGCCCCCCATTGGCAGGGCCAGCTTTGAACCCATTCCTCCCGCGGGCGCTGACGGGCCCGCAGCAGCGGCGGAGGCCCCGCCGCCGCCGCCGCCGCCAACAAAGCGATACTGGTCATCAGGGTCGCGCATTGACAACGGATCGCCACCGGTACCACCGCCACCGCCTCCGGCAGCGGCAGCGGCGGCAAGCATCCCCAGCGGCGCCTGTTCGTACATGATGGAATCCTCGTACGACGGCGGCTTGCCGGCGGCGGCAAGGTCGCCGTACGTTGGGTAGTTGGTGGTTGTTATGATGGTTGAGTCGCTGATCCCGAGGCCCAGTCCTAGCCCCAGACCTCCGTAGCTGTTGAAGAGCTCGTCATTGGAGTCGTCCCCCGCCAGGGCCCGAAAGCGATCCATATTGCCCTGCGAGTTGGCAGTGGTGTAGTGGTAGTGGTAGTGGAGGTGGTGGTGTTTGTGGTGTAGTGGGGGTGGTAGTGGAGGTGTAGTGGTAGTGGTGTAGTGGTGTAGTAGTGGTGGTGGTGGTGGTGGTGGAGGTGGTAATGGCGGTGGCACTGCCGTGGTGTGGTGGTAGGTGTGGTGGTGATGCATATCCATCCGATTTACCCGGGGGGGGGGACTCAACGCGTTGAAACATCCCAGACCCCACCGTTCACTACTCTTCCAAGACTTTGAAAATTTTCCAAATTTCTGATCCACAAGCCCACCTGCAACAGCTCGGAATTGTCCCCAAGATCCAAGCCATCGTGACTGCCTCGACCCACCGGCAGGCTGGCTAGGTGGGAAGTCAAGTCCTCCATATCCTGAGGGATGGAAAATGTTAATCTAAATAATTATGGGGAAGGCGGTTTGTAGTGTTGGAGTTTCGCGTCCACGCGATGGAACAATTTAATACCATTTTTTCGGGGGGAAGATGTGCAAGGAAATGGAAATAGAGTTGAGGGAAGAGAAGGTAGAGCAGATTTGGATTACGGAGCGCTGGTGATGATAATCGAGAAGAAAATGTCCAAGGGAAATTTGGCTACTGTTATTGATGCTATGGGTGTTTGTGGTGGTTATGGTCGTAATTATTTGCAGGCCGGATGCAAGGTAAGGAATAGCATAATGCAGCAAGCTATCCGTACCATTGTTGTACAACGGTTGCGGTACAGTACGGCACGGGTCCTGGAGGACAGGGCTGTGTCGGTCTTCATCCTCTTGGCTGACGGAACTTTTTTCGCTGCAGCTCTCCACCCCATTCCCACTCCCTCCCCGCGCCCACCCCCTCGACACTCCACACCACCACCTGATGGCGTATCTTGCTTTCTTTACGATTCTTTCGTTAGCCAGTTGCCGTCAGGACACATTTAATCAAGGGAGTTATCGGGGTTTTCCAACCATAAGACGACTTCATATACCGTAGTTCGGCACGCCCCAGGTCGAGGTAAGGTGTTGTACGGGGATATTCCAGTGCGCGGAATTTAAGACAGGAAGGTGAATATAATTTTGATTCCTCTAATATAACAGGTTGAAGTCCTAACCATCAGACGACGGTGGTGGGGAGTGATTCTGGTAGGAGGAATGAGATTAGGTAAGCACTGCCTACTGTCGTCGTCGTTGGAGGGAAGGACGGCGTGATGTGGCGAGCACAAAGTGGGTTTTCCTCCTCCGACCCAGTCCTAGAGACCGTTAGCATGCATTTAAAATCAGTTCAGTCCACAGTTCAAATACAAGGTGGTCTTAGCGGGCTTCGCATACATCCAACCCCTCCACATGCAAGCAATTCTAGGAGGGGGCTTCAGGAACAGCCCCTTCTTGGCAGTTTCGAAGGCTCTCCCAAAGCCACGAGGCAGAAAGCTTCCCTCGCGGAGCAGTCCCCTCCACAGCGCTCGTCTATTGTTCGCCTTCCCCCGAGGCACTAGTTTTTGGGACCAAGCTATGGTTGCTGGCTCCCCCCAGGACCGCCGCGAGCGGTGCCGTAAGCAAGGGACGCAGTCTCATGCATTAGTGCAAGCACGGGAAAAGCGGGGGAGCTTAAAAACGCCACTAGCGTGATGTGGGCTGAGCGTGGGCGCGCTGCGAGGATAAGCTAGGTTTACAGCACGCATCTATCCTAACGGGGTTGGGTGATGCACCAGGAACGGAGCCTCGTCGTGACAGAATGGTAACAGTTTAGAGTACGTAGAGGCTTTGGTGGTATGTGCAGCTATGAAAGCAAAGGCTTGCGGACAAGGGCTATGAATTGGAGGTTTCGTTCTCAGCTCCGACCACCGTACCTGGTCATCAAATGCTCCCCCGGCACGTAGAGGATCGCCCGTTATGCCCTTGTTTGCCATTTCGGAAGTTGGCCACGGTTACGCGGCAGAAAGCATTCCTAGCTAGGAAGGAATCGTCGTCTAGGTTCGGCCGAGGTGCCGACGGTAAGGTGGCCTCGATAAGCGCAGGATGAGTTCCGGTTATGATGCTTTGGGGAAAATTATACTAGAAATGGACAGGGACAAGAGACACACGCGTAATGTCTATGAGAAGCGGTTGTCGCTTACAGGAAAGACCTCCTTTAGAGCAGATCCGCATGCCATTACCCCTATCGCTATGCTAAGTAAAGACCTGTCGGGCTTACGGAGTCATATGCATTGTCGTGCACATTTGGTCACGACACTGGAAAAATGAATAGAGTCGCCGGTATATGCCCAGAACGAAATTCCTTACAACAACCAAGAGTGTTCGTAGCTACGTTTACCCTTGTACACGCGCATATCCGTGAATTGTATCTTAGATCTTGGGACCCTGACAAAGCATGGCCGAAACTAAGTTGACGATGTCCCTGGATGATCTAATAGCACAGGCAGGGAAAAAGAAAGAGAGGAGGCCTCAGCAACAGCGGCCGGCCTCCGGCCAGGCACCAAAGTCTGGTCCCCGGAAAGGACTGCGGAGAAACCGGCAAAAGAACGCCGCGAACGGCAACGCGGCTCCTACTCAGCCACGGCCCAAGCAGCAACCTCAGCAGCAGCAGCCACAGCAACAGCAGCAACCTCAACAGCAGCAGCAGCCGCGCCAGACGCAGGCCCAGCAAGGCGGTCAGCGCATTCGCAAAAGTGGCGCGCCAAACCTCGGTATTCGCGGTGGACAGGTGCAGAAGCGTAACGTTATCGAAGTGCCGGTCAAGATGATCAGGTCTCCACAGCAGGCTCTCCCGCCTCCGCGGGTGAGACTTATTCCGCCGTCGCTGCACGTAGCTTTTAGCACGGACAGTGCGGACTTACACAGCATGTCGCTCCACGCACACCGCTTTTACAGAGACAGGCATTGCCTATGCGGCAACAAGCTCCGGAGGGCAAGTGGCAGCATGACATGTACGCTGATGACTACCAGCCTCCGCGACGTGCTCCCGTTCCTACAGCCCCGAGTACCAAGCTGTGAGTATTCCGTGCATTTAGACTTCGCCTTGCTTGCAATTTCACCTGCGCTGTGTTCAGTATGTCTGCCGCTTGGGGCTTTTTGGAGCACGGGGCGCTCTGCTGAACCGTTCACTAACTCCTAGCGCCCTAGCGGAGAGTGGCTCCTCCCCGGCTCCCATGGTGGACACCACGCGCGTGTGCAATCTCTGACGGTGTGGTGAGAGCCCGAAGAAGAAGAAAGCGCGCTTCCCACGACCCCAGTGTTGACTTCTCCAAGGGGCGACGCCAGGGAGTGTCGATGGAGACAGCTGTGGGGTTGGCGTGGTGGTGGTGGTTTCGAAGCAACTCGCAAGCGCGGGCTGGCGCCCTGACAGCTTCTCCCGTCCCCTGGCGAATGCCGCAGCATCGTTACCAACCTTCATCACCAAGTTTCCGAGGACGACTTGCTGGTAAGGAATTGCGTGGAAGTTTGGAAGTGGCTAGTTTTCTGGGTTAAGTCAATACAATGGCTGCGGGTGGAATTAGAGTTGTAGGGAGGTTGTAGGGCGGGTGGGAAATGGGTCAAATTTCTCGGGGTCTGGCCTCGGTAGGAGATTGCTGCTGGGGGTTGGTGGCTTTATGGGCAAATGTTGTGCTGCGTGGGTGGAAGAAGGTTCGGAAGGGGCTGCCCCACGGTGTATGTGGGGATGTTATCATACCGGGTAAAATGGAAGGAGGGCGAAAAGCTAAGGGGCTAGGCTGGCGGGACGGCGTGCAATACGGGCCGCCTGAGGGATTGGAAATACAGCAGGACAGCAGGTTTATGGACGACGGTGGACGAAGGAAAGGAGGGAGAACGGGTTCGGCAAAGCTACTTTTAGCATCGGGAGGAGGAAGGGGGAGAAGAGGGCACCCGAGGTTAAGTTACGTAGATGGAAGGATCTTGGCGGCCGGGAGCCGTGTTCGCATCGGTTTTGGTTGTTGAGGGGCTGTTGGCCGCTGCAGGGGGTTTAGGGAGTTGCAACGTCCAATGACGGGGGGGGGGAAAAGGGCCGGGGCTGCTGGGCTCACCCGCGCCCTGCTCAACACCTTGTCTCTGTCAATGGTACGCATATCCGCGATCCTGCGTGGGTAAGGTACAGCCGTCAGAAATGTCTCTGGCCAGAATCTTCCTCCTTGCCATCATCGTTATCATCATCTAATTATCATCTAATTATCATCATTATCATCATCATCGACGCCGATAGTAAGTACTTGAGTATGCATATCTCTATGCGCTTCGCTGCTGCATCCTGGCCTTGTGTGGTCCGATTCCTTTGTGTAACCGCTAACTACGCATTTGCAACGAAAGCCACAGAAGCAGAAGCTCTGAACTGCTTTCCCATCCTCCCCTTTCATCGCAGGAGCTGTTCTCAACGTGCGGCACCGTCAAGAGCAAAGCCATCAACTACGACAACTCGTAAGTGACCTCTCGCTGCAAACACTCGGACACATTCGAGCGCTGCATGTGCATTCGGGCATGGAACGTAATACTCCTGTCTATTCGGTACGGGCGTGACACTTGCAAGCGTGTACAGCATGTGTGTCCGCTCCGCAGACACTATGCGCATCACACACCCAGCTTTTACTCCACCTGCGCATAATGCCCTCTTTTCCTGAGGGCCCTGCGCCTCTACGCCTGCGCCTCTCTCAGCCCGCTCTAGCAACCAGCTACAACGTCATGATCCACTGATTGCCCATCCCCTCGTTTCCTCGGCTCCATGCGTGCTAGCAAGACTCTCAAGAGATTTCAAAACAAAATTAACTGCATCAACGATAAGGTATAACCAAATCTTCGTAGTTGTTCTTGCTTCATATTAGACTTTAATGCAGTAATGTAACTCATCGGTCTGAGTTTTCGTAATCCGGTACCGCATTTCTTCCCGGGTCGGCCTCGCAGCGGGCGCTCCCTGGGCTCGGGGTGGGTCGTGTTTGAGACCCGGGCGGAGGCGGAGGCGGCCAAGAAGGAGTACCACGGCGTCAAGCTGGATGGGCGGCCCATGGAGATTACCTTCGCGGACGGAGCTGGTGCCGGAGCCTCCTTGACGAAGCTATCTTCGGGCATCTCGTAAGTCGTCAGTATGTGGTGTGATGTGGCGATATGACGGATGCGATTTGTGAAGGCTGAAGGCTGCGCAGTGCAGTGCGTGCTTGTCTTTGGTATTTGGTAGGAAATTCGTGTTGAAGGTAGGGGAGGGGCAGTTATAGGGGACTGTGTTCTGACGGGTTCGGTTTCCTTAGGATTCTTGGTGACGGGGCCTGTCCCGTCATTGAGACAGGGCCCAGTGCCAATCACCCTACTTAAAACAAGCACCTCCACTTAATACCGCATGTAGAGCGGATGGACATATCTCGGACATCGAGATATCAGCACAAGAGGTCGCAGCATGCACGCCTGGATCGGCGCTTTCGATCGCGCATCATTGCAAATGTGCACGCGTGGGTCAGGATTGCGATTGCGCATCTTTTTTCTGGAAACCGGCGCCCAATTGTTCTTCAATAAGCCTCCTCGGAGTACCTACAGCGTTTCCCACCACCATCATTATCATCATCATGCGGTCGTCACGCCTTCATATGCAGGGTTCAGAAGCCTGGCGGGGGTGGAGCGGGTGGCGGCCGGGCCGGCGGTGGCGGCGGTGTGGGCAAAGCCGCGGGCGGCAACGGGGGCCAGCGCCTGGCGGCGGCTGCGATCCGGGAGACGGCAGCGGCTTCGCGGTAAGGGGACGCGACTCCTCGCCTGCGCAGTGGACCTGTCACCTCTTGCGGGTTGCCTATTTGCATTATTTGACTAGGGTCCCATGGAGATGGGGGACGGGTTTATTGCCGGGTGCCGATGCGCAATATCTCGGTCAGTTCGCTGGGGCACGGCATTGAAGGCGCTGCCTGGCATGCTCGGCTGATCTGTCAGTAGAAGAATATGTTCCAAAAAGCTCTTTCTTCGGCCGCTTGTTCCTTACCTGAACCACCTGTCCCGTGTGCGCGCTGTCTGCGCTGCGCTCCTCTGCACACTTCGCTCCTTGCAGGGGCGGGGCCGAGCGAAATGGCCGCGGCAACAGACTCCGTAGCGCCGTGGTGAGCTGCTGAGCTGCCGCGGATCTGTGCCGTGTAACGCGCACGAGCCCGGCCACGCGGACATGCCCGCTTCAAGCTACCGACTGTGTGCTTGCTTATTCGTAATTTTTGTTACTGCCTGTTTGTCTGCCTGTATGTCTGTTTGTCCTGGTCGTATCGTGTGCATCGCGGTGGGTTTCATTGTTCGTGCGTGGCTCGTAATGTGTCTGACGGAACAGACGCGCTTTGGTCCACCGCTGTCGGCGAGTAGCGCGGACGTTGTCCCCCTCCTGGCTTCCCTCCTCGCGAATGCAAACAACTTGCTTTGCATGTCCTGGCATTGGGACTCACATTGAGTGCAGGTGATGGAGGCGATGTTGTCAGGCTAATGTGTTATGGTTACTGGCAAGCCTATTTAGGCTTCCGTATGGTGTTCGCCTCGGTTCTACGAATGAGCTCTTTGTGCAGTATTATAGCTATAGTTTACTTAGAGACAATGTTTTTTTCCGATTTCCTTACTGCTTTCATGTGGCCTACGTCATGGCTTTAAGGGTTTCCATGCCCTTGCCTTGCCATCCTTATTTCCTGTTTCGCCTTGCCCTGCCTTGCCTTGCCTTGTCGTACAGGTAGGCCGAGCGCAACTGGATGCGGACCTGCAGGACTACATGCAGGTGGGGCCCTGGTCGTCACTCGACTAGTTCTCCTGCCTCCCTCCTCCCTTCCATGTCTTTAACGCGTGCCCGCCTGCCCGCCCCCGCCCCGCTTCTTTTGGACTCGGTGACAGTTCATTCCTGATTTTCCTTGCAGCATATGATCTCCCCCTCTTCCCCCCCCCCACACACACACACAACTCGTGCCGTCGCCGCTCTCTCTGCACACGCGAACCCCACTTGCCGCCCGTGTTGCACCCCCTATCTCCCTCTGTAGGAGTGAGAGCCGCACGCGCGGAGTTATTCAACGGCACTCCTGGCTCCCGCGGCAGACACACCCCACCACAGATTTCCAGATGACTACCGCAGCGAGCGAACCGTCTTTCATGTTTCATGTGGAAACGTCTCTCTTTAAATGATGGTGGGGCGAAAGGCGTTCGACAGGGAACAGGAGGCGTGATGGTACCTCTTCCCTTCCATCCTCACGTTTCTATACACCATCATATATGGAGACATGTCTTGACGACTCCGATGGGGACAACCTTTGTAGCAATGGTCTATGGGAGCTTTGGAACCGGCAGTTGTTCAAGGGAGACGGAGACGTTTGAGAAAGGGCCGCACGGGAGGCGTTGAAAGTTACTGGACGATGTGGAGGTCACTCATATCGTGAGGGGAAAGGGGAGGGCGGGTTTGACACACGAGGCAAGACGTATTGTGAGGATTTATATGGGACTGTGTGACGGTAGAGCGCCTAGTGGTGATGGCACATGCCCGCCACATGTGCCAATGGCGGTGGTGTTGCCGCCTTTCCTCACTTCTGCGTCGCTGGTCGCGTTGTCACAAGCTGGTCATCATTGTGACTGACCGCAAAAGTGGGAACCTGGGGTATATTGCGCATAGCAGCCAAAATACTGGTAGGGATGGTGCGGATGGTGGTGGGTGTTTTTACGGACTGTGCTTGACTGACTGACTAACTGATGATGTGTTGTTTGATTCCGTTAAAATTTTTTAAATCCATCAGACAACGGAAGTTAAAAAACGGTGGACGTATGTTTCTTTCACACGAGACGTTCTTTTCCTTCGTAGGTCGTTGGCATGCGTGTTTATATCTATGGTGGCGGCGGGCAATGAGACAGCAAGAGGGGCCTTGCGACACAACCTCTGGCACGGACGGATAGACAGACAGGCGGACATTATCGCCCAGATGATCGTTTACCCTACACCCGCACAATGCGTACATGCGGCTCTCGTTCTGCATACGTACCTGTTTTGCTGTGTTTTGTGTTCAGTTACCAAACAAAAAAAAGAAACAGTAAAAAATCAAACGGTTCCAGTGATGGTCACATGCATAAAAAACCTACAATTTTTTGTGATGTGTAAAAAATCACCACCGGCAGTCTTCATGCAAATCTCAATTTTTTTATCGCAGCAGCGCTCCATTTCTTCAGCCCAGTGATCATTTGTCGCCAGCACACGACAGCCATATCACCTCTCCTCCAAACTCCCCCCCTCCTGTCCCTCTTCGCTACTTTATCTGTCCATCCCTCAACCTAAAACATCAAAGCATATGTGCACAATCCTGACGACTCTTCTCAGCTATTGCCGCTGCTATCAGAACAGCAATCCGGCTGTTGGTCATCATCGCCCGAAATTGGTGACGATGATGGTGACGTTGTCATAGGGGTGGTCGTAGTCCTAATCGTAGTCGTCGAATTCCCCAAGGCTAACGACTGCGGCTTGCTGTTACTAACCCTGCGCAAGGCGTTACTGGCGAGCCGGGTGCTTGTACGTGTTGGCATCGGCGCCGCAGCCCGCGCGGACTGCTGTTGTTGCTCTCCTTTCTGCCTTTTCTTCTTCGGCACGTCTGGAAGCTCTACGGGCGGTGGATTCGCGAGGAAGGCCTCTATCACACGATCTGGGTCGTACCGAACCTCCTGGCTAATAAACGTGTGTACGTGGGTGGAGCCCGAGAACGGCCCCTCTGCCGGTCCTACGGCCGCTGGTTCCTCCTTCACACCGTCGACCCTCTGAGTGTTGCCGGAAGTGGTGGGCGCGCTCCTGACGCCGTCTTCTTCACCCATTCCTGTGTCGGCGGCGCTACCGTCGCCGCCGCAACCGTCACCGCAATCTTTTCCTTGTGCCGTTGTTTGGTCGCCTCTTTGCCAAGCCCGCGGGTATCGAGGCCCCTGGGCAAGCTGGGCTAGCTGCTGAAGGTCTATGGAATGTCGCAACGTCACCTCCCGCTTGTCCACGTCAGCCCATTTAACCAGCCGAACCTGCAGCGTGCACCATACCCGTCTTAACCCCTGCGGCACGTTCGGAAAAGTGTACAGAAAGCCGCCGCCGCGGCCGCCGTCGCCGCCGCCGCTGCTCGACGGAGAGGTGATTTTGGAATCGCTACAGGTTGGATGCCAGGCAGCGGCGGTGTCGCCACTTCTCCCGCTTTTTTCGCCGTCACTAAGGGTGTTGTTCTCTCCCTCTGGCTCCGCTGTGACGGAGATCTGCACGGACTCGACCATCGGCAACGGACAGTGGCGGCCGTGCTGGCTCCGTACGCGAACCGTGAGGACGCGGCCGCCACCACCGCCGCCACTGCTTCCACCACCGCCGGCCACCTCCATGGCCTCCACTCCCGGCGCTTTCGTATCCACCACCACCACCAGAGCATCATCATCCGGCTCTGCCTTCAACTGGGAGAGTTCGTGCTCCACGACAAGCCGCTCTGTACGGATGTACGGAGGAACCTATACGGCAGGGATTGCAGTGACGTCGGTGCAAAACTTTTCAAATGATTGACCTTGCCGTTCCTCCGCACCTGCATTCCCAGTTCCTTCATGAGCAGCGCCATCACTAGATCCACCCGACTGCGAATGATGAGGTTGGCTCGGCGGTCCTTGGGGGTCTTCTGGAGGTTGACGATCACCATCTTACCGCCTTCGGACATGCAGGAAGCGACACCGGGGTGTACATGGGTATTTGCGTGTGTGAGTATGTGAGTATGTATGTGTGTGTGATATGGGGTAACAGCGTAAGAGCGGGAGGCGTGTGTGGGCCGTCAGGACGGGGGAGGAGTGGTTATCATGTAGAACATGTTTTGAAAATTGGGACAAAACATGCCGTTGTCCGTCCGAATGTACGTATGTATGTATATATGTGTGAAACAGGGGGGTGTATCTTCGCCCGTGGCACTGCGAAACCCTGCCTTCCCCGGTATTTCGGGGCACCCTCATCCAGTCACCCTAGTCAACTTCTCAGTGGATCGCTCAGGTTCCGCACCCACCACCAGCATCCAACGGAATCTGCCGGGTCGACAGCGGCCCAACTCCATTCCTGGTCAGGTTAACTTATCCCAGGTCACCACCGTCCATCAACTAGGGGCGCAATGCCTTCCACCATCGGAAGGACTTTTGACCCTAACGGGTATCGATCCCGGGATCTCCCGGGGGCAATGGTCGCGCCTTACCAGTGGTGTCAAACCCTTTATATATGTATATATGTATGCAGGCAGGCAGGCAAGACTTGCAAATAAAACAAATACGGAAAACAAAAGCCAAGACAGAAGAAAAATTCCTAGGAAGAGGTCACCATATATTTGAACGAACATCAGATTCCAATTTGTTAATGTTAGGGGAGCACAGCATCCAGTCGCAAGGAAAGGTACAGTTTGGTCCTTTAGACGCCTCTGGTACGGCGCTAGCGGGAAACATATCAGGAAATTTAAATGTTATGATGCTGCAAACAAACCTCTGTGTATGCGTATGCTGTGTTTGTGTGTATATACAAACATACATACAGAAAAGATTTATGAGAAAAGTTACTTGAACAGCTGGATTATATACATATGCATATACATATACATATACATGTGTGTATATGTCTCCGTTCCTACCTCCGTCTCTTGTCAGGGTCGGGATCTCGTTCGCGGGCTGAATCTGCAGTGAGGTGCCCAGCACCAGCGCCACGTCCTGCGTGTGTATGTATGTGCGAGGACATACAAGGCATCGAACATGTAAGGGTTGAAATTGTTATTACCTATTATTACCTATTATTATCATTATTATTATTATTATTACCTATTATTATTATTATTATTATTAATTATTTATCATTATTATTACTTATGATTATTGCCACAATTATTAAGAGTATGTAAAATAAAAGTGATGTAGTAAGCTTGCCGCCATAGCGGATGTGAAGCGTGTGCGTGTGTTGTACTGGCTGTATGAATCTACACGCTAGATAGAGCGAGTTCGCTCCCGCATATCACCCAAAGGCCCTTCCGGCGGCGGCTGGATTGCTAGCAGGCCGTGCCGTGCCACCACCAGATGGACGGTGTCCACGCCATGCAATATAAGAGGCCGTTGTCGTACCGCTTCCTCCGCGTGTCGTACGGCCTCGCCCAGCTCATCTTCCGGCAGGGGCGTGTCCCAGTCCAGGATGTTGTCCACCAGGGGAGCCCCGCAGGCGGGTTGGTCGCACAACCGGCCACTGGGTTTGAAGTCGACCTGCTGGGGCAGGACGCGGGAGTTGCACTTCGATCTACTTTCTTCAAAGTAGTGTAGTAGTGCACTCATGTATTATTATTACTATTATCATTACTATTACTATTATTATTACTATTACTATTATTATTACTATTATTATTAGTAGTAGTAGTAGTCGTAGTAGTGGTAGTCGTAGTCGTAGTCGTAGTAGTAGTCGTAGTAGTAGTAGTAGTAGTAGTGGTGTAGTAGTATAGTAATGTAAAGTATAAATGGATCAACTTAAGAGATGCGGTAGCTGGCCGCTGAAAAGGCCTAGGCCTCTCACGATGCTGGCAGAGCGCCTTCGCGCGTATTCATAATATAGACGCGTGCCGTACTATACGGCAGCTACTCCATGAAGTAAGCCGCAGGTAATTAAAACAATTGAGAGCATAATAAAATAAAGGCATTGACAGGAGAGTGTACATAACTTACGTATGTTATCTATAACATCTATAACAGACATTGGAAAATATTAAGGAAATATAACGACAACTACCTCTCCAACAACCTAGCTATATATGTGTGTTGTGATGAACACCCAAACAAGGGAAAGGGCTGCTGCCATAGCTCTTGTCGGGCAGGCAGGCAGACGCAGGGACAGACAGACAGACAGACGCACAGGTTCCGGCTACAGTTGCGCCCTCCCGCCCTCCCACCCTTCCCCAACACCCACACACCGTCTCCATCTGAAAGTCTCGGGCGTACTCTGAACGGCACTGCGTGCACCGTTCCGCAAAGCAATTGCCGTGCAACTCCGCCAACCGGTTCCTGGGCACCCCACTCCATAAATGCAAGGAGTCGACGTTTTGACTGCAAACGTACGGCACTTTGCCAGCAGCGACCAGCGCGGCGATTGCCTGATTGGTTTGGCATTTTTTTTACGTACGGCAATACGGCATCAGCGCCATCACCGGCACCAATACATCATCGTGGGGGCACCATTATTTTTCTCTCTGGCCCCTGTAGGCTGCAATGCTCCGTGTTAATAACTCCGCTTCCGCAATATTTTTAAATTGTCACGTATTTCATAGGGTAAAAGCGATATGCAGTCTACTTTCATAGGTGGTAAGATAATGGTATTGGCTGCGATGGCGGTTGCGGCCCGGGCTGGGTTTGGGCAAGGGTTAGTGCAGGGGTTATTAGCGAAAGCGTTGAAGAAACTCGCTTCAGGAGGCGGTGCACTATAAACAAGTAAGCAATGTTGTATGACAGCTGCAATAATGGTGTTTATGATGACAGTGGCGGTTGCGGCTAGAACTCGACGACCGTGTAGAATCGTCAACAGCAGCAGCAGTATCAGCTGCAGCGGCACCAGCAGGAGCATATTACTTCCTTTATGTATTTGATGTAAGGGGGACAGGGCAAGGGATCCAGGTTGCAGTTAATATCGCTGTTCAAAAGCAAGTAAGAGCGCTGGCACCATCAGCTTACCATGTGCGTGAAGCTTGGCTTGGCGTACTCAAACGGGGTGAAGTCGGTGGGAATGGGGATCTTCTTCTTGCGCAATGTCCAAATCCCGTTTGGCCCCCTGGAAATTAATTTGTGGTGGACGGGGTGAGAGGAGGTGTGGGCAACGAACGCTTTGAGGCCAGGACAGGATGGCGAGACAAAGTCTTGGTGAGCTGGTCTCCGAACAGTAATTTGCGCACCGGAAGTCAGGTATTCCGCAAGAGGTTGAAATCCCAGCGCCCGTGAACACAAAGACTCGCTTGGCGTCCGCAACCTGCGTGCGCCATCGACACCATGAATTGTTTCCGTGTCTAAAGGACTTCCTGAGCAATCAATCACTGGCTTTGATGTTGTTAACGCACCCATTTTGCTAGAGATTTGACGCCTTCTTTAATTTCATCAAAGGTTTGATGGTATTCCTTCGCGCCAAGCTGGCCACCTAAGTTGCGCTTGTTCTTCAGGCGGTCGGCGTATCCCAAGGACATTGATATTCAAAGCTGGCAAGGACAATTAAAGGACTTTTACGCAAAACGGCACGCCATGTCAAGAGTGAAGGTGATCGTCGTCCAGCCGAAAGTAACGTGTCAACCCGCTGCACAGCGCTTGTATGAATTTGGCCGTGTTCTGTAGCTTACACAAAATTACGGTAAAAACAGCTTACCGTACAGAGCGTACGGTCTGCGGCTCCTACCTAACCTCTGGTGGGCAAACGTGGACTCGACAAGTCAGCACTCTCATGTCGCCATAGGTCCTCCCCCCACCCAGATCCGCATACGCAGAGCATGCCACGACTTTAACTATGTCCCCGAGGAAAGAAGGACACGCGCGAGAGGACGACCGGGAAAGCAGACGACCGCGAACGCAGTGCACTGTCCGCGCTCTCCCCTTCCCTTCCGATTATTCGTTTCTGAACTTAATCATTTTGCACTCCTCCAGTCGTGCTACACCAACGTACACGGGTCGCTGACCGCTGGCCGTGCTGCATCTCATGGCGGCATCCCCGCGTGCGAAACTCCCAGGCGACGGGGAGCGCAAAATCACGGAGAATGGCTGACCTCCGGGACGGCTCCAAATGCGGGTCAAATTGATGTTTCTTTCTTGATGTGCGTACCCACGGAAAACTGTAAATTAGCCTGCGGGGGCACCTTTTAAGTTCCATGCTCCTTGTCTTGCTTGTCTGTCCTGCTCTGGTCAACGCGCTCCGGGGTGGTTTCGCTGGGAAGGACGCCCTTACAGCTGTCTTGGTCCTCTTGGGTGCTCACACTGTCCGCAGTCTGTTACGACTGCCGATCAAAACAAAAACCATTACCTTGTTCCAAAAACAATATTTGAGTTTTGTTAGCTCTGTTATCCATGCGCACCTACCCCGCACTTGGAGCATGAAGTTTAAAGTCCGCACCCGGGCCGGTTCTCAACGCCCGCCCCAACCTTCCTCTGCGACGCGAGACAGGGCGCTTCCACGCAACCGACTTTCCAAGCATAGCATATATACAACAGGAGGTTAGTGACATAGGGTACGAGGCGGATTCAGACTATAACGAAGATGAGGATACACGGGAGGCACCCTCTTGCTTCCTCTGGTGCTGTTCCAGCTGTTGACCTGCCACGGGTTTACAGGCGCAAGACCGTGCCAAGACGGAGAAGCGATGTGTTCCTCTTATCCATCGGATCACCGCGAGGGTGGCGCTGTTGTGAGGATGGTGGCACGGCAGGATGGTGGCACGGCAGGATGGTGGCACGGCAGACGACGCTACTGACCACGCAGCAAGGCCAAGCAAGGGTAAGAGGCACTGCAGGGAGTCACATCGTAATCCCCTGCTGGTGAGGCGACTGGGATGTGAGACCCCACAGCAGCATATTGTTAATGCAGTACAGCGACGCCCGTACAACCCACTAGGTTGACCGTCACGATCGCCTCCACCGTTGGCGAGGCGAGGTCAATGGGTCCACGGCGCATCGGTTAACCCCAAGCAATGGGATATCACACCGGATTAAAATGTGGAAGGGAAATTTGGTGTCTACGGCATTGCAAATGTGTATGTAACTTTGGTTGCTTTCGATGAGGCTGTCGGGCGGTAGTGGTAGTGGCCCATCGCTGAAGCTCGTCCCATATTTGAATATCACCAACAGGTCTGAGTAATTAGCAACTTACTTGCACTTATGCATGGAATTATAGAAAAAGTAATATGGACGCCCTAAGTGGCCGCTCCTGAGGGCGGCTGAGCCCAAAGGGCGAGCGAATATTTCCTATCTTAGCATTTGGCGTGCTACTGCACAATCAAGGCATCACTGCTGGATGATTTATTTGGCTTAGCTCGATTAACTGCATGCACTGGTCACGAGGGTTTATCCTCATCATCAGAATCATAACCGAACCCAGAAATGGCTACACACATGAGGCGAGCTTCGCCGCCGTTTCTTGCTTCTGCCTTACAGAAGGAGCTGATTTGGGTCCAGGCAGCATCGGCGACGGCTTGCCGACCTAGTCCGGCAGCAGCTCGTGGCCAGCCGGCACCCCAACTAGTCCAGTTTAACAGAATTTCCTGTTATTTATGCACAAAAAATGCATCAGCACGTCAGAGGGCTGCGCGGCTGGCAGCAGCTCAGGTCTCCAATTCGGACGCAGCTGAGTCCATCGCGGCTCCTGCTGAACCAGCACCTGATACCAAACCAAAACGTCGACGGAAAACAAAAAAACATCGAGTCACCAACCTTCAAACCGAAGGGTTGACCGAATCCCCAAATATCGCAATTTCGGAACTGAATTCTCACGTGGGACCCGTACTGCCAAGTACTGGACCATCATCATCGCTAACATCATCGTTCTTAGATGCAGAGCAGGAGTCAGCAACTTCCCTGGTAGCTTCCCCGAACACCACCACATCCAAACCGCGCGGACGCCGGCCGCGCCACCAACGCACCAGCTCCGACGAGGAAGCCAAGAGCTCCAACACATCTGCAATCACAACAACCGCCAGCAGCCCCAACGCTTCCACCAGGCGCAGCACCCGACCAGCGCGCACCTCCAAAAAGCCCAGTCGACAGCCTAATGCCGCTGCGGCATCCGCCGTCACAGCCGCTGCCGTAGCCGCAGAGGCAGGACAGACCGCCGCCAGCGCTCCGCCACCACGGCAGCCGGGGCCGCCACCCGCGACGGCCGCCGCCGGCACCACAGCCTCGTCAATGGATCCAACGCTCCCGCTCACCTCCGGCGGCGGTGCCGGCGGCGTCGCAAACACGCCCGCGGTGGCAGCAGCAGCAGCAGCGCCGCCGCTTGAGCCACTCCATGATGTTATTGTCAATGGTAATGGTAATTACAGTCAACGTCCAGCTCAGAGTCAGTTTGGAGCTCAGGGAAAGGAGCGGGCGGTCCAAGATGTCGGGGAAAAGGGGTGTGATGATAATGGTGATGACGAGTTCAGCAGCTTGACGGCGATGCTCGTCCTGCAGGGCAGGGCTGCCAGTACGGCGGTAGAGGAGGAGCCAGCTGGGTTGGCGGCGAAGGCGGCAGGGATAACAGAAGTGGCTGAGATGACAGCGGAGGCAGGTGGAACGGCGATGGCGGAGGCGGCTGGGATAGCGTTGGTGCGGGCGGCTGGGGTGGCGGCAGCGGAGGCGGCAGAAGCAACAGCGGAGGCGGAAGCAACGGCGGCCGCGGACGCGGTAGCGGCGGCAGAAGCGGCAGCGGCGGCAGAAGCGGCAGCGGCGGCAGAAGCAGCAGCGGCGGCAGAAGCGGCAGCGGCGGCAGAAGTAGCAGCGGCGGCAGAAGCGGCAGCAGTTGCAGAAGCAGCAGCGGCGGCGGAAGCAACAGCGGCGGCAGAAGGGGCAGCGGCGGCAGAAGTAGCAGCGGCGGCAGAAGCGGCAGCAGTTGCAGAAGCAGCAGCGGCGGCGGAAGCAACAGCGGCGGCAGAAGGGGCAGCAGAAGCGGCAGCGGCGGCAGAAGCGGCAGCAGTAGCAGAAGCAGCAGCGGCGGCAGAAGCAGCAGCGGCGGCAGAAGCAACAGCGGCAGCAGAAGCGGCAGCGGCGGCAGAAGCGGCAGTGGCGGCAGAAGCGGCAGCGGCGGCAGAAGCGGCAGCGGCGGCAGAAGCGGCAGCAGTAGCAGAAGCAGCAGCGGCCGCGGGAGCGGCAGTGGCGGCAGAAGCGGCAGCAGTAGCAGAAGCAGCAGCGGCCGCAGAAGCAGCAACGGCGGCGGAAGCAACAGCGGCGGCAGAAGCGGCAGCGGCGGCAGAAGCGGCAGCAGTAGCTGAAGCAGCAGCGGCGGCAGAAGCGGCAGCAGTAGCAGAAGCAGCAGCGGCGGCAGAAGCGGCAGCAGTAGCAGAAGCAGCAGCGGCAGCGGCGGCAGAAGCGGCAGCAGTAGCAGAAGCAGCAGCGGCAGCGGGAGCGGTACCGGCGGCCGAAGCGGTAGCAGCCGCGGAAGCGGTAGCAGCTACCGCAGAAGCCGCCGCAGCAGTAGCAATACCAGCTTCTGAATCACGTGTTGTGGCGGATGCGGACCAACTGCAGCAACAGCCTCCGCGGGGGCCTGGGCGGGTGGACCACCAACAGCCGCAGCAACAGCCAGCTGAAGCAGCCGCCGGCGCAACGCTGGAACCGGACTTGGCACGTCGAGACAGCGACTCCGACGCCGCCGGCGAAGGACAGCCGTCGGCTCTTCCTCTCCTGCTCGGCAGCTCCGCGGGCGTCACCGCCGTCGCCGCCGCCGAATCCGATTCGGATGAAGGGCCTGACGATACAGCGGTGGCGATCTCCGTACTGGCGGCCGCCGCCGCCGCAGCGGCAGCGGCGGATGCAGCCGCCGGTCATCATTCGTTTCCCCGCGGCGGCACTTGGCGCCGGCGGCGTACGAGCACCTGGGAAGTTCGGCCGCCGGCGCGACGGCCACCGCGGGTGGTGGCGTTTCAGGTCGGCGGCGGGCTGCAGGAGCTTCAGGCTCTTGTCAACTCGGTAGTTGAACCCACCATCATTGACCTTCAGGGAGCGGTGATTGCGCTGGCGCCGTCGCCGTCGGCGGCAGTGGCGGCGGCGGCACCGGCGGTAGCGGAAATGGAGGGTGGGGAGCCGTTACGGGGCGGCCCAACTGGCGAAATGCTGGCTGCAGCAGCAGCAGCACCACCACCACCACCACCGCCGCCGCCGGCGACGACGACAGCGTTGGTTTCTGCGAGTGCGTTACGTGTACCCGGCTGGTCAGCACTAGCTGATTTGGTTCCGGAGCGGGCCAAGATGTTGAGTTGGGAAAGGGCAACGCAGCACCAACAAGATAAAAAACAGCTGCAACAGCAGCAGCAGCAGCAGCAGAAGTCGTCGATATCACCGCCGCCGCCGCCGCGGCAGGGTGGCGGTATGCTGCTGCTGCACCGTGATGACGTCACAATAGCCAACGGGACGCTACAGCTTCACCGCGGCTGTGTGCTGGCTGTCACGGGAAGGCGGGTGGCGTTGAGGCGGGTGGAGGTGGGTGGCGTTTGGGGGGTCTTGGGGTTTTGAGGTGTGTGCGTGTGTGTGTATGTGTGTGTGTGTGTGTGTGTGTGTCTTTAGCTGGTGTGAAGGTGGCACTCTTCTTTCCTCACCCATCGCTTCCATTCTAGTGCCTGGAGGGGAGGAGAGGGGTGGGGAGGGGGGACTTTACTTGGATTTGCACTTCACTTCCCTCCCCCCCTCGCTCCCTCCCTCCCTAACCTTACCCATTGTACGGATGTAGGTGGTGGATGCGGAGGCAGCTGCATGGTGGCGTCAAGCTACTGCCATGCCGGCCACTTCCCTTCAGTCGGCGGCACTCATTAGTGTGACGTCATCACCGTCACAGCCACCACTGCAACCGCCGCCGCCGCCGCCCCCCCCACAAACATCGTCCGCGTCACCACATGCCGCCTCTAACTCCCATGAGGAGTTGACGGCCTCGGTGGCGGTGTACGACACCGCCAGCGGCGGCGGTCCGCCGTCGTTGGAGCTTGACGACTGTAGCATCATCGCCACCGGTCGGGATCGCGACTTGATCCGAGTTGACGGCGGCAATAGCAGTAGTGGCGGCGGCGCCGCCGCCGCCGCGGTAACGGCGCGCTACAGCCGTTTCCGCGGCGGCGCGAACGCGGCAGTAGTGACGCTGCACTCGACGTTGAGTTTGGACTGCTGCGAGCTGGAGGGCTACGCGGCTGCCGGTGTGGTGGCGCTGGGGTCGAGTACGACAGTGCGGTTGGTGGGCAGCCGGCTGCTGGGTGGCGTTGGCGTTGGCGGCGAGGGGGGTGTGGGTTTGCTGGTGAGCGCACACGGCGGCGGGGGGGGGCCGGGGGAGGTGTGGAGGTGGGAGATGGAGCCTCATGAAGGGAAGTTTATTACATACGGCACCAACCGCCAACTGCCAACGGTATAACCGTCGTGACAAGAACCTGCATCCCGCCACCGTCGTCATTTCTGACGTTCCCCTATTTCGCTGCTACTGCTACTGCTAGAGGAGTTGTGATCATTACGTAGTTAAAGAGCCCGATAGCGTTTTTTACTGATCGTAACTAACATTGTAAGCACGTGCGAACGTCGCTTGTCTGTCTGTCTGTCTGAATTTGTTAATGTATCTTGGCATTTTGTTAATGCATCTATGGTATCCAATAATGCACATATATCTATCCGTTTATGTCTGTATGTATGTATGTATGTTTTCCCGCACCCCTCCAGGCGGCGGCGGGATCCCGTGTCAGCGCAGTTGGGTGTTTCCTCCGCGGACACGCCGCCAATGTGGAGTGCAGTACGAGCAGCTCTGTGGACCTCCAGGTAGTGTGGGGGTGCATGGGTTGGGGGAAAGGGGGATGGGGTTAAAGAGAGTTCAGAGGGGGAAGGGGGCCCCCACATCGGAATGCCATCCGTCCCCCGTCGCAACCCCTTGGCCTGCGTGTACTGCCCTACAGGGCTGTGTTCTATCCCGTACCGGCTGCCGGTACGGCGTGACACTCCACTCCGCCGGCGCAGCGGCAGCTACGGTGGCCGCGGGAGGGAAAAGCAGTGACGCCGCCGCCGCCGCAGCGGCCGAGCTCAGCCGGGTACGGCTGACGGATTGCGAGTTGGCGCATGCCGTACAGGTCGGCGGCGGGGAGTTGGAGCTGGAGCGCTGTACATTCGCGCTGCGCCCAGCGCCGTCGGACCTTCCGGCACCGTCCGTACAGATCACGTCAGATCCGGCGCTAGCGGCCAAGCTGGCGGCGGCGGTGGCGGCGACATCGCTCGGCGGCGGCGGCGGCGGCGGAGCTGGCGGAAGCAGCGGAGGTGTACGAGGGGCCGTGTGGACGGCATATGCCGGCAGCGTGGCGGCGGTGGCGGCGCTGCGGGTGGTGGAATGCCGGACGGCGGCCGGCGGCGGCGGCGAGCCCGAGGCGGTGGTGCTGGAAGCGGCGGAGGCGGCGAATGTGTACATCAGCAGCAGCCCCGGCGTCGTGATCCGTCGGCTCGGCGGCGGCGGTACCGGCGGCAGCGGCAGCGGCAGCGGCAGCGGCGTCACGAGCTCTCCTAGGTTGCGTCCCTAGGACAGTCCCCTAGGTGTTTCTGGCGCGTTTCTGAAGGACTGAGCCGCGAACAGAAATCGGCGGGCAAAGATTGTGTGCGTCTGATGTGGGTATGTGTTTTGGCAATTGTTTTCAAGGCATCTATTGGGTTGCCGTAGGGGTGCAGTACGGGCGCAGTACAGCAGTCGTTATGGGAGTTTGAATCACATTGCGCAAAGGTGTGCCTTCCTTCACTTCGTGTCGTTTCTTCTCTTCTCTCGGTGACCTGCTCTTTGTAGGAGAGGCTGTAAGAGCAGCAGTCAAGTCCGTGTGAATGCCAAAATGGCGCTAATCTCGTTTTATACACTTTATCAATTGGTCAATATCGCTTTTCAGGCTTGAGTTTATCAGAGGTGAAAGACTGTTGAAACCATCTACTAGCATCTAGTAGCGGTTCCCTCGGAAGTCTACCGCAGGATATATTAGCTGCGGCTTGATCAGTTTTAGTGAAATCTCGTTACGGTGCTCGTCAACATACAAAATTATAGCTGTGCTCCGTTACCTCTTTTCATCACAGCACTTTCTTTCTTTTTCTTTTCTTTCCTTTTCTTTTTCTTCCTTGTGCCATGTTCTGTTTTGTCTTTATAATTGCTTGAGGTGGGATTTCGGATTGATGGGATGATCGCTACCGCCACTGCTGCAATAAGGCCACCGGCTGGGTCGGGGCCGCCCTGGGTCCGGTGTTTTTAGAGAAATCTAGTGGGAACTGCAAGATGGTGGTGGGTCCAACATGGCGTGTGATCCTCAATTTGGGGTGCCGTCTCTGAGTCCTGCTGCTGCTATTGCTATTGCTGCTTCTCTAGTGACTGTATGTATGCATGTATATTTGGTATCTGTACATGGCACAACAATTTTCAAAAGAGTGAAGAGGGGATTCCAGTCGACTTGAAGAACATCAATATGACACAGCGCGCGAGCAGGAGAAGTCAAGGTTGCGAGAGGGTAGGGAGAGAGCGGGAGAGAGGTTGAGAGGGCGGGAGAGGGAAAGAGGGGGTAGAGAGGTGTAGTTGTGATAGTGCGATAGTGGCAGTGGTGGGTTAGAGAGAAGGCGGGGAGGGTGGAGAGCTAATGGTACCGGTGGGTTCTGCTTCCGAAGACGGCTTTAATGCACGACATGGGATGATGCCACGTCGGTTTGCACGCGGGCTGGTGGACGAAAAGTGGAGTGGAAGGGATAACGTATGTTTCGAGCATAATGTACGCACACTCGCATCCAGTCATGTCCCACATAATTTTACATCCTGTTTCTGTCCGACAACTGGGACAGAAGGAAAAGATAAGAGTAAATTTCTTTAATATCTTTACAGCATTGGATCCAATCCACAAGGTAGATCCAGAAATTCTACGTAGTACAAATGATGTAGTACAAAGATATTTAGGCCGGTGGACGACCAAGATATATATCAATCGGGGAACTGGATCCATAGCCCGAATCTAGCCAGAGGGAAAACCACCCGGCTGCGTGAAAGGCTACACCTACACCCGACCGTCACCATGACATCTAGGAGCACTAGTTTTTTCAAATCTCCGATACCCTCTCCCACTTTAGCTACCTCAAAAACCAAAACAACTAACATGACAACCATCATTACCATTACTGATCGCCGTACATTTCCTCGTTCGACCAGAGTCCGTGCCGTACTGCCATATATCGCAATACCCGATTGCGGCTTTTCAACCGCCTTGCCGCCTCTGGTTCAGTTCACGAACCAACGACGCGTAATCCTCATCATGTTGCACTCAGCTGTGGACGGTGACCCCGCAGTGAGGGGTTGCAGGGGGGCCTCCGACGCGACGCCATCATCACCCCCACCTCTACCTTCGCAAGGAAATATGTCATCACACGAACGGAAGCAGCTGGCCGCTGAAAAGATGCCTGGGTGTGGAGCGCCTTAGCGTGCGTTTGTAGATGTTATGTGTGCGTCGTACTATGTACCAGCTACTACACGTACACTCGATTCCAAATGGGCACATATCGCTTTGTCGAAATTCCAATTTAAAAACAATCCTTCGGCGTTCATCCCCCCACGTCCTGAAAGCCAGCAGCAGCAGTAGTAGTAGTAGCAATAGCAGTAGCTTCAGCAGCAGTAGCTTCAGTAGCTTCAGTAGCAGCTATAGACACAATCGCCCATTGCTCTTCGATTGGTAAGAGACTGTATTGGGCCCTCACACACCCCCACACACAGCTGGCAAATTTTACATCAGTCCACCGACCCATCACCATATCACCCGCAAATCCAATAGAAAACAGAAACGGAAAAACATGCATACATACATACCGGGGGGAGTTGGCTGCATTCAAAATGAAGTGGTGTTTCCTCCGTTGGAGCCGCGAAACATGCCGCTGACATCCCGCCATTCCCACCTTCCATAATAACCTCACTCGCCACCTCACCTCACCAACCCCTCACATCTCTCCCACACCGTCCCCCCCCCGTCCGATCACAGCCCCTCCCCTCCCCTCCCTCGGTTCCGACAGATGGCGGCCCGCGAGGGCAGCGATTTGACATTCCGACGACCCAATTCTGTCCATCCTTCTCAGTCTCATCAGCCGCTCTGATGGGTGTGTGTCGAGGAAACCGCAACTGGGTGCACCACCGGGGTCGGAGGGAAAAGAAACCGCAACCGTCCCAGCTCCGTCGTGTATAAAACAAAACCGGAACCAGCACCACCACCAACAACAGCACGACGACGACGACGACGACGATGCCACATAACACCACACAAACAGGTTTACACCAAATTCAGAGACATCCATCCAATATAGGGCCATCGAACACAGCCAACGATCACAGCGATCACAGCCGTCGCGATGTTACCCTATAAACAACGATTAGAAACTTACCCCTCCCTAACAACAAGGACGGTAGGATCTGTACTCCTCGACAACAATCAACTTCGAAAGAGTGGATGATGAACCGGAGAGGCGCAGCAATGCCCAAAAAGACTAAAGACAACATTTCCGGTAAAGACAACATTTTCGGTAAAGTCAACCTCACGGGAGAGATCCGTTCGGGCATGTCGTACAAATAAATCCTAGAGATCGAGGCTCTTGCAATACAACACGGCGTGCAAAACACCGCTTGAACCCCAGCAGCACCACAAGCCACTGCGCAAGGCGCATCAGACATTCCACACGTCCATCACGATTTTAGGATTATACAAAGGCCGTAACGGGGAATCAGGCTCCGAAACCACCCCAGAAAAGATTACGGAAAACTAAAAACCAGGCCGTGGATCCGAGAGCTAATTTCTTTATGAAGCTCCGGAAATCAGAACGCCTCTTCATGAGATCAATGTATCAAGCATTAATTGATTGAGCGCACGACGACGTGTATTCATGTAAAATAAGTTTTAGGACTTAACCCTAAAACTTACACAGAATGAACCCCCAGAACCCCAGTACGACTTTAGAGCGGTGCACGGAGGCGATTGTTTGTTCATGATCCGTATGACACAAACATTTTTGAAAGCGTGGGAAAATTGTGTGGTGGCGGTGCAATGGGTGGTAATTACTCCCCTTTTCGAACGGTTTTAAGCGACGATATAACTACAAACAAACTCGCCATTAACAAATTCATGCCGTACAACGATACATGCCGTACATTACGCCACGCAGGGCTGTGAATTATGATTCATATGTGCCATTCAAGAAGCATAAAAAGGCTCGCTCGTTTTCTCGCGCTCTGGCGCCTCCTCCTTCTCCTCACCTCGTTAGGTGCCAAGGAGCCGCACCTCTGTCCCGCACTGCTCCAAACCACATCTCTATTCCAAAATTCCTTACCTATCCTCCTACCTTTCCGATGTACTGTACGGCATTTCAAGAAATCCTTCAGAGCCGTACAACAGCACCCGTCCCACGTGTACGCCCGTCAGCCTGCACAGGTCAATAACCCCCGGCAGCTAAACCAATGTCCCATTGTTGCGTTCCCCTGCCCCCCCCCCCGCCTGGCGCCCTCTTCCGGCCCCCTTCCTCCGTCCCTTCCATCGCCGCCGCGTCCTCAACGTTATTGGATTTTGCCGTTGGATTTAATTCTCAAAGCTGTCTCTTTTTTCCATGTTTTCCTGCCTCTTTCCTTCCTTTGACGGTTGTTTGTAATCTAAGATTTACTTTTGTTTTTAGTGGCATAGTAAGTGTGGATGAAGTTGCGTTACATACTGCATTACTCTGGTCAACTTGGTCTTCGGTGTTGTTCAGGTGCTGCAAACTGTGCTGTCCTTAAAGTTCTTTTTAGGGTTTCTCGAGGCGGAAGAGGAAAGGGAGAGAAGGGGGCGGGGGGGGGAGAGAAAGGGGGGAAGAGAGAGAAGAAGGGGGGGGTGAGAGATTGATGTACCGAAATCCGCGGTTGCAATTGCAACCGCTAAAACGAGCGCAACGACTTTCTCGTTGCGTTGGCGAACCACCTCGTTGCCAAGGGGCCCCTCTTGCATATCTATTAACTCTGATGACTGTTTTCAGCAGCTTCCGCATGCAGCTCCAACTATGTAGGTGGTCGGTAGTCGGCCGGCGGTTTCGTAATTTACCATTGCTGGTACGGCAATAATAATCATGCGGACGGGAGTGGTGCCCGATACTTGGTGGCGGAGTGGCGGTGTTGACGAAGCCGTTCATTCTCACAGATATTCTCTGCGCCCTCCACTGCCCAACTTAGCAGCGATGATGATTATGATGATTATGATGATGGTGATGACGATTTCCGGAAGTGATGATAAATTAGGCCAGCTAGCAGCAGACCGTCTACCGTCATACTGCGATGCGGCACATCCCCCTCCAAAGCTCGCTCGCCGAGGCCGTCGGCCGTCGGAAGGGAACGCAGCTGCCGCCGCCGCCGCCGCCGCCGCCGCCGCTGTTGCGACTCCGCCGCCGCGGTTGTGACTCCGCCGCTGCGGTTGTGACTCCGCCGCTGCGGTTGTGACTCCGCCGCTGCGGTTGTGACTCCGCCGCTGCGGTTGTGACTCCGCCACTGCGGTTGTGACTCCGCCGCTGCGGGCGGCAGCGTCGTCACTGTCGCCGTCGTCAGCACCACTTAGAAGTGACCGCATCCTGGAAATTCACACACCCCCACGAAGCCCCTTGCATTTGACGCCGCCGCCGCCGCCGCCGCCGCCATGCCCTAAGCGCCGCCACGTCCGTTACCGCTCGGCGCCCTGTACGGCGACCGAGGAGAAGACCTGCCGGCCGCCTTCCCAACGACGCCCTCGCCGCCGCGCGAGAAGCGGCGTCCGAAACCGCCGCCAGTGCCGCCAATACCAGTGCCAGTGCCGCCGCCGCACGACGCCCATAGCGGCGCAGCCGCCGCCGCCGTCGTGGCGCCCTCGCCTCGCAGCCAGGCCGCCCAGTCGCCTTCCTTGGCCCTCAGGAACCGGACTCGGCTGCCGATGGCCACCGCCGCAGTGGTGGCGAGGAGGACCGCCTGGGGAGCCGTCCACAAATAAACAGGTTATAGCGCGCGCCCATATGACCCGCGGGAACAGTGACCCACGGGTCGGTCGAGATCGGTCGGCGGTCCACCCGAGTTAGGGTTGTGATGACGGGACCGAGGCAGGGATGGGAAGGATGGGAGCGAGTAGTCACTGGTCACCGCAGTTCAGCAGCCGCAGTACACACAGTGGTATGCTGCGCTCTGACAACTTCATGCAACGCCGCCATGTGGGGTGAAGGGGGAATGGTGACCCCCTGAGGCCATTGTAACCTCCGGACAGATCCAGACAGTCACAACATCAAGAGATCCCGAGATTTCGAAGCTCCGAATGACGCCGATTTAGCCGCTCTTTTGCTGTTTTCTACTACCCCTCTTCCTCCCTTCCCTCCCTCCCTTCCTCTCCCTCCCTTCCTCTCTCTCTCTCTCTCTCTCTCTCTCTCTCTTTCTTTTCCTTATCCGCTGACCATTCTTAACAACGCGGGCGCCCATCCATCCCGGCCCCACCGCCCCCGCGCCCCCACCCACCCACCTGGTACAGCAGCGCCCGTTCCAACGGCCCCAGGGGCAGTCGGCCAGGGGGGGCCCCCGCCAGCTCCGGAACCCGTGTCGGGTCTTGTCCCCCGCCCCCGTGATGGCGGTGGATGTGTTTTTCCCGCTCCTCCACCCCTCGGTACAGCAGCCACGTGGCGGGGAGGTCCAACAGGGAGAGGAGCACCCGCTTGGGGAAGTCCACCTGTATCGAGTTGGTCGGTAGTTGGTTGGTAGTTGGGATGGGAGTTTGCGGAGAGCAACCAGGAGGGGTTCAAGAGGTGGAAGGGAATTAAATAAAAAGGCGACTTAATATCCCTTCCTTCACTTCCATAACTAACGAAACCGATAAGAGCAACCACCGCTGCCAAACACCTCAAACACACATCTTTGCAGTATCCGATGCCGATCCCACCTGCTCCAGCAACGGCCGTACGACTGCCTCCAAAGCGATGTCGCCACCGCGAGCCAAAAACATCCCCTCGCCGCCACCTCCAGCTCCACCTCCATCCCCACCACCATAAAGGCGCCAAATCCCCCAGCTGCTACTGCCGCCGCTGCTAGCGCCGCCGCTGCTACCGCCAGCTTGGAACGGTTGCAAAGCCGCCGCAAATGGCCACAGAAGCGAGAGGCCCACGACGGCCTTGGCGGCCGCACGACATGTGCAGTACATCATCAACAGCGCCGCGGAGCGGAGCCGCCGGCGCCGCCACGATGCGGCAACGGCGGCGGCCTCGCCACCGCCGGACTGCTGCCCTCTAAGGGCTGCGGCCCCCGACGGCCCCGACGGCGCCGACGGCGACTGGAAAAGTAAAGGTTGGTGCGAATGGAGGTTGGGACGGGGCCGTGGCGGCAGTAGCTGCTGCAACGGCGGCTGCGGTTGGCGAGCATGGGATGATGACTTGGTAGCGGAGGAGGGGGATGACTGGGCGGCGACGCCCGTGCTGCCGCTGCCTCTATCGAAACAACCTTCCAAGACGCAGCATCCGCCGCCGCCGCCGCCGCCACCGCTGCTGCCGCCACCGCCGCCACGGCTACCTCCGCCACCTCCGCCGGCGCTGCCGACCTGGCATATCCACGCCAGCAGCGGGGCCGCGTGTGGAACGTGGAAAGCCAGCGCGGCGAGCGCAGTCGCGGTTTCGGAACTGCCGTACAGTACGGCCTTGGCCAGTACGAGCAACGGCAGAAGCGCATTGGCGACGGCGTACAGCACTAGAGAAGTTGCTGCAATCTGCGAAAGAGGGACATCAAAGTCATGCAACAGGTTTTAAACGCAGTTTGGTGGTTCACCAAGAACGAAAAGGACTAAAGAAGGTTCAAATGGATTTTGAGGATTGATGAAATCTAGCTGTGAGTAAACATAACACGAGGAGCTTGGGTACTGCCGTACATCCATGTTCGCGACAAAAAACAAAAAACAACAAAAAAGAAACAGATTACGAAGAGATATCTTACAGTAAGAGACACCCTCTCTCTCACACACCCTCTCGCACTCGCAGTAACAAAGCAGAGACACCAGAGCTTTAACGTGGTCCCACCTGATGATGATTGCTGACCGACCCAACGTACTGACGCTCCAGGAAAGGGTCCGAAAAGCCCCACAGCAACTCCCCGGCGCGCGCCAGCTGCGCCGGCGGCGTCAACGCGCGTCGTACGGATCGTACGACACCGCTGACGCGAATCCGCAATCGCAGCCTCCAACTTCTTCCCAGTTGCGCGACCAGCGCCGCCGGTGTCACACCGTCGTACGACGCCACAGACGCGTCCTCCCAGGCCGCTGCGGCGGTGTCGTACTTGCACAACAGCCACGCCGCCATGGCGCCGCCGTCGGGAGCCGCAGCGGCGACATGAAGTGGCGTCACGCCACACGAGGCGCGAGCCAACCAAAAATTGCGTTTGACGTCACCGCCGCCGCGCCCATATAAACGTTCGTGCCATCGCACGAGAAGTTCCACCATTGGTCGAGAGCCCGCCGCAACGGCCATGTGCAGCGCGCCGGCATTCGTTGGGGGACTTGGTACGGCATCCAGAAGGGAGGTAAAGGCCGCGGCGGGACCTTGGCCGCCGTTGCAGGTCAGCACGCATGCAATGAGGCGGTCCGCGGCGGCGGCGACGGCGGCGGCGGCAGCGCCACCGCCGCTACCTCCGCGACAGAAGACACCAAGCAGGTCAGCAGCCACGGTCAGCATACCCGGTCGCAGCGCACCCGTAGAGCCGTAGTACGGCTGGCTCCATACTAGGTTCTGGTGCAACTCCAGGTACGGCGTCGTACCGTACGACACATCAGCTGAAGGACCCGAGCCTTTGTTCCCCTGTACGGCAACACCGCCATCGCTGCCGTCAGTTGCTGTCGCAACGGTAGCGCCCTTATCACAGCCATCGTCGCCGCTGCCGCCGTTGTCCTCGTGACTACTTGACGGCGCCGCCGCCGCCGCCGCCGCCAGGTCCAGCCACGTGCCGTAGTCATGCAACATAGCATCGACGGAGGCGTCATCCATGGCGGCGGCCAGGGCTTTTAGCCCCGAAACCACGGCAGCGTCGTAATCCACAACCACCGCCGCCGCCGCGCTCAACAGCCCAGTCGACATCCTCGCCTCCACGGTGATGAGCCCGCTGGCGGCGACACCGTCGACTGCCAAATCTACGAGGAGTGGCGCCGCCGCCGCGGAATGCGGCGGCGGCGACTGCGGCCGCACCTTAAGGACACTGTACGACAGCAAGCCAGCGGCGCTGCGTACGACAAGACCCCTTCCCGCCAGCACGTCTTCCTCGGAAGGCCCCGCCAGAAGAACTTTCAGATGCAGACGAGCGCAGCCGGATCCAGGCCGTTCGGCCACCCGGGGGGAGACGTGGAGCAGCGTCGGCGGCGACGGCAACGGTGACGGCGGCGGCAACGCCGCACCTGACGCCGCCGCTGCTGCCACCCGAGAGGGACCGGCGGCCCCGGCGGCGGCTAACTCCGTCACTACCCAAGCCTGCGCATCGGGCTGCCACGCCAGCACAACCGTTTCCGTACCCATCTGTAGTACGATTGAATTCTCGCTGTCCGGCCTAATAACGCCCGTACTGTGCAGGTACGATACAATGGACCGGCCGAGATCCCGAAGGGACGCGGCGTCCAGGGGAACAGCGGCGCCGCCGCCGCCGCCGCCATCGCCGCCGTCGGGGGCAGCGGCGCCGCCAGGCCGGTCCTGATCGGGCTGAGCAAGCCTGTCGTCACCCGCCGCGCCATCGTCGGCGCGATTGCGGTTGTGTGATGTACGGACGGGGACTAACGGCCGAAGGTCAAGCACCAGCTCGATGCAACCCTCCCGGGCGTACGCGCCGACGGCCTACGTACGACAGTACGACAAATTGCGTCGGACGATATTTTGGGACAAGACGATGCTTACCACCTGAAATCCAAGACTGAGTACCATTATCACCTTGCGACAGTTTAAAACACAATTCAACACAAAAAAGACACGCACATCTGTGAAGACGCTTTTGGTGATGAGAACCACATACGGCGAGCCGTACAAAGACCACCGACCCACGCATAACCGTTGCAACCGCCAAACCACCCACCTGCCATCCGGATCCCGCCAGCACCTCCTGGTTTATAACCGTCAACAGATTCTGCGGGAGATCCGACAGGTGCGAGTGCTGAATCTTTAATGCGAATCGGCACGGCCTGGCGGGGCTTATGTACGACCTGCCGCCCGACCGCAACATCTGGATGCGACGTAACGCCGCAACTGGCGACGCAGCCGTGGCGGCAGCGGAGCCTGTGGCGGCAGGGGCGACGGTAGCGGCCTGTTCGACCGCCAGCTTGGCGCCGTCAGCAGCGGGGGCGACAGCGGCGGCTGCCGACGTCGATGCGGATGATGCCGTCGCCGTCGTACCCCGAACGATGTCAGGCAATCCACCAGCCGCTGCCGATTGCTGCTGCTGCTCAGGCTGCTGCTCGTACAGTCGTCCGTGATCCCCTTCCGCTACTGCCGCCGCCGTCGCATCCTCCGTAGAGACGGCGACGGCGGCGGCCTTGGCGGCCGATCTCGCCGCGCGAGCCCTCTGCTCCGCCAGCGCCTTACGACGCTGCTGGTAATAGGCGTGACCCACTGCGAAAGCAGCGGCGGCGATGGCCTGCATGTACGACGCAGTACGACACGGCACTTCATTGTACGGCACATATGCGAATAACCACTGCTTGGATTTGCGCACGTCGCGCGTACGACTCTGATCACAATCGATTGGAATCCCTCGACATTGCGAATTAAGAGGAAATATTACAAGACCCGATATAAATGTAACCAACGTAACTGCCACAACTAACACCAACTAACGCATTCACCTAGCTGTCCCGGGAAACAGCGGAAATACCCCAAATACATGTAAACGACAGAAAACGAAAAACTTCTCCGCCGTACATTCTAAAACACACACGCACATATGCGTACCTGCATCATCACGTTGAGTGGGTTGACTTCCGGTAGCATGAGGTGAGGAAAGAGTCCACACATCAACAGAACGAGGACTGCCGTACTAACCGACACCAGCGCCTCATGCCACACGGGCAACTGCGCGGGAATAGATCATTCAACTGAAGACGAGGCTAAAGTACGGCTGCCGTACGGATGAAAAAATTTCACTAATGTCAGCTGAATGCCGGACTGAGTATTTCTTTTCCAAATACACGAAGTCGCTTTCCAAATATGATATGATATTCATTTGATATTATATTGGATCATATCCTCAGTGCTGCATGCATCTTGGTCAACAGGTCATGGTACGACAGCTCGTCCTTGAAATGCCGTATACCTACCTCTATGATGTAGGCGGTCCAGGCGATGATGCAAAACTCCTGAAGAGGCAGGAGAACAACAACAACCACAAAATCAAAAACAATCATCAGCAACAATGACAGCAAAAATCGGTTTCACGCGCCCACCAATGCACTGTGTTTCACCTCCCCCCCCCTTCAGTGCCTCCCCTCCGGAGCCCTTCAGCCCTTCCTCACGGCGAGCCGCACAAAGCGTGACGGCCATTCGTCCTTCATCACTTTCAATAAGCAAAGCAACAACAGCAACAACAACACTACAGCCGGCAGCAGATGAAAGCAGCCGCGGCAGTAGCTGCGCAAGACACAATTGCCGTACCAGTAACACTACTGACTTTGCAGTAACAGTCGCACTTAAAAAAACCCTACTCATGCTGTGCTGATGCTTTATCAAAAAGGCGCTCCGTGCTGATCCGGGCAGAACCCTATTTACAATATTGGACAATACTGTACTGTTTAATGTACACTGTTCCAATCGTGGAACAGTAGACATTAACAATAGTTATTTTCTAGTGTAATTTTAGTTTATTAAAATTATACTAGACAATCCAGTACAGACTCGCACGAGTAATAAAAACCTTTCGTCCCAATTATATGCTCTATAGCACAACACCACCTGTACGACAATCCGGGCTGATCTGAACCGAACTCCGCATACCTACCACTTTGCTGTACCGCTTGTAGTACACCGACTCCTTAGCGGGGTGCAGTACAGATTCCAGCAGGATGACAGCACGACAACCAACGGCGACACCGAATTTCAGAAACGTCCTAGAGGCTGTGTCGGACATGAGTGCAAGGCCTAGTCGTCGCAGCAGTACGACGGTCATGAAGGCCAGTGGTACGACAAAGAGGATGGGTACGAACGGTTCGTGCTGGCCGCCGCCGTACATGACATGCCGTACAGTAGCTGCGGGACGTCGCAGTACGAAGGCCATTTTGGCCAGGAGTCCCGAATTGCATGGGAAGCCGCGCCAATTTTCCAGATCGACATCTAGCTCACCGCCTGCGAGCCATGGCCACGGCGTGGATGAGGGGATCATTCGTACGCTTTCCTTACATAACGAAACACACCGCCGTACGACACACGAAACGAGGCAAAAGTAGGGAAGTAGAGGTTCGCACAACGCGCATAAGGATACAACGTTTTTTCCGGAATGCGAAGGCGACATCGCGCGCGCGTGTGGATCACAATCAGGTATGCACGGCTGACAATGTACGGCTGAGCGACGTGATCTGTGATAAGGTCTATAGTTGAAATGTTAGGTGAATTGACGGGAAGGAATTTATGGGCGTTTAGTGGTGTGGGGAGTAAGAGAATGGTGGCTTGAGTGTGTGTATGGGTGTGTATGTATGTGTGAGAGAGGGAGAGGGTGTGCGAAAGAGCGAGAGCGAGATGAGTACAGCAAGTGGCGAAGGGCGCTTTTACCCGAATGGTGAGCTTCTAGAATTACAAGACAACAAGTAACGGGGTTTTCAGTGGACCCCACGCAGAGCACAACAATGGATAAATGGCATGACCTTGCCAAACCTTGAACAAAGGATAATAATTTGAACATCCCTAGACATGCTCAGGTGCCACGTTGCCCATAAGCCGCGCATGGAAGCTCACCAAAGGCGTGGTTGAAGAGGGCTCCTAGCCCACCGCGGATGGCACTTGCACCACAAACGGCGACATCGACAGGAAGGACTGTATGAACCTGCGATATAGACGTTTGAGCTGTTTGCCGTAGGCGATTGCGAGCGGCTCAGTCCTGGCAAGTAGAACATGGCGGGGCCGCACTCCCGGGACCCTAATGCGCGTCTATTTAGCATCTCTTGTGGAATCCATCTCACCGTAACCACGGCCTGCGAAACGGGCGAAATTAAGACGTCTTCTTAGTTCGGAACGACTGCGGTATTCTCGCGTTCGACACCACATTGGAAATGTACAATTTACAGAATGCACATGTAATCGGCAATAAGAGGGGCAGAGAGAACGTGCTAACCAGCGGCAGTTCGGGCGGAAGGAGGTCCGGACAACCCGACCACAAACATTTCTTACCCAGTAAACAAAAGCTATGTAGGTTAAGCAATCCAGCATCTTATTTAATAGGCCCGGTAGCCAGACTGTCAACGAAGGTGCCGCAAAAGAGCACACCGATATGCAGTTCTTATGGTAAAATGACCATCATGGCCACGCGGAGCCAGCACCAATGGGAGCCGATGGTGCCCTACCCAAAGAACGCTCGCTTGCGCGGACGGCTAAAGGATTCAGCGCCTAGACCTAATTTTAATAAACGAGATTGACAACTCTATCCCCACAAGATAGCAGTAACGGTCACGAATAAAAACCTCCGGATAACACAGGAAAGAACAATTCCCAACCCGTACGCAAGCTGAAGTACGAACTCGGATTGTTAGTGTAAGTTACTTGCGGCATCAGTCCGAATCAAATGATCCTCGCGTATTAAATATTCTTCCGAGGAGTGTTCCCGGTAGGTGTAGCGCTCACATCCTCAACGGCTTCAACCCCAAGGAGCCCTCCTCCGTTCTCGCTGCCGTACCAGCGGTGCGCATTGCATCACTGCGCGCGCACAGCAAGGTAGTCCACATGCGCCCTCAGACCATGTGCGGTGCACATCTGGGGGAACGACGTGAAAAGGGGAGGCATACAGAGGTGTGATTGTGTGTGTGTGTATGTGTGTGTGTTACATGTGTTACATGGTTGGGGGTGCGTGACCCCATACCTGTAAAACTACCCATACGAGACGAAGGCCCAAGGGCAATATCTACACGCCTAAAAGCCACGGAGAACAGGAAACACCGCACATCAGCCCAGACTAGCGTCCCAAAGGTGTAACTGAGTTTCGGTGAGCCCACATACGTTCCAACATCCTCGCCAGACGTACTGGTTCCCATTGCATGGCCTCCGACATGCTCTGTTGATGATCGAATCCCTCTTCAGCACGAATATCATTATAGGCTGGGCATTCCAATAACACGTGTTTTTCATCCTCGATTCGGCTATTAGTACCCCAACAGCGGGCAAAACCGCTGCTCCCTGGGGACACGGTACATTGCCCCTTCATGCTCTGTTTGCCTCCAGAGCCCAGCAACATAAACGAAACTGCATTAGCTTACGATGTGCTAAACGAGGGATTGAAACCTTAGCATGTTTATGATTGTGTGGAGGACGGGAGTTCAGCTTCATCACCTGCGGCGACTAGCCTGGGGCAGACTCACCTTCCCCGATGTTTCGGTGCACCCTCATGATTTTCACATACGCCGACGCCGATGCCTGGGAAGCCAGCGACTTTCTCGGTGCAGCATCCACCATCGACATCAAGTGAAATCAGCCAGATTATTGGCGGCGTCAACCCCGCTCCTCTTCGGCTCGCAGGTTACTATAACCTCTCATGCTCCGCTGTCGAGGGAAAAAAATCTCTTGCGCGGTCGAGATCGATCCTAAAACCCTCCAGGGCAAAATGCATTGGCGAAGTAAACCAGATGCATATATTAGTCTGTATCATTATACAAGAAGCTAACACGCCATCCTTCAAAGGGTCATTAAAAGGGGCAGAGTACATGAACTCGTTCCGTAGGTGCGTGCAGCAGCAGCAGCAACCGCTGCAGTGGCGGCGGAAGCAGCAGAAGCAGCAGCAGTAGCGACAGAAAGGCACGATCATGTAGTTAATCAATGGGAATGGGAACGGAATGAATCTGAGGGGAGTTGGTGCGATGCAGTTAGCATGTCGTCGTCAAGACTCAATGCCGCGTTAGGCCATCAGCCGCGCACAAAAGTACACGCACGCATCTTCAGCAACAGCTACGTCGAAGTAGCTGCAAGGCACGCAGCAGTAGCAGTAGCAGCAGCAGCAGCACCAGGCGCCCGCGGCTGTCAGGCGTTGGAATACATAAAGGGCAGGCAGACAGGCACCCGAACGTACAGCCTGCCGGCAGTCACTGATGTAACCGGCCTTGCCTTCTCAAAAAGGGACTCGTCATCTGCATCAATTGACTCAGCGGGTCGTCAATCAATCGGGTCATCAATCGGGTCATGTTGTACCCTCATATGCCCACAGCGGGATAGTGCAGCCACGGGCGGAAGACGTTGTATTGCTTTTTACTATATAGTATGCGGGGCTCAAGCGGCAGGTCCAACCGCGTTATGTCCTTTCGCCTTACGCCTTAAAGGGAAAGCAAGGCGGACCCCCAAGTGGTGCTGTGTGATGAAGATCAGGTTGAAATATTGAGCGTGACTGCGTGAGTTGCGTATTGCGTACTCATCGTGGGTTGAGGAAGGATACGGTCGGTAAAAGCCTCTTCTTGGACCGAACTAGACCGCCAACGCCGCGGGAGGAAGGTGTTATCAGGTAGGTATTTGCGCAGCTGTAAGTTCCACACGCCAGATCTCACCTGTCCATCAGCCCAACTGCCGCATGCCGCATGCATGTGCCGCATAGGCTGTGCATACTTGCCCATGCCGCGCGACAAAGACCATTATTATTTGGTCCGTCAGTAATGTTTTGATCCACCTATATAGAGGCAAAACCCTGGTATAGTAGATAGCATCGGCCGAGAGTTTCGCCTATGGGTGATCGAACGTTTTACTGACGTTGGTATTGCTTCGTTAGCGGTACGGGAGAGCCGCCGCTTGCTATTGTGGGCCATCCGTGGGTGCCAATGGGTGTTTAGAGATAGCGGAGGTTGTGGTTAGTTGTGTACACATATAGTAATTCTGTTCCGAGAGTACCGCGTGGAAGTACAGCAGGCCTTGTTTAAGGACGTTCAACGCGCGCGCGACGTTTTCGTCAATCAGTCGCTTAGGTCGCACGCGGAACATGCGATCGGTTTTTGTTGGCCCAAAGCTTCACACGGACACGGACACGGCGAATTCGCGTGCGCTGGCGTGCGTGAGAGCACCCGCGGAATGGGGGGAGGGTCGTAAGTATCTTTTTTTTGGCAAGATTTGTGTCATGAGACTATTTGTTTTATGGTGTGACAGAAGTGCAGTAGCGCCGCCGCCGTCACAGATGCAAACCAGCACCCGGCAGCACAAATGTAAGAAAAATATACTTGATGCATAGCATTGCACCATGTCTTCATCTTTGAATATGTGTGCTGCTGGCGGGGTTAGTCCGCTTAGATCTCCTGAATCCGATTAACATCGTGCATCCATACATTCACTCATTCATTCATTCATCCATTCATTTTATGCATGCATACATACATCAGTAGGGAGAGTATGATAAAGTGGGATTTGACCGCAACGACTAGCCCGCCAATAAACAATAGTCGTACATTCGGTTTTGCTAACTTACTTCGCACGCACCGCCAAGGCGTACGTAAGGCCCTCGGTTTTAGAAGCCGAGAACTGCTTGGTTGGTTCCCAGGTATAAAAGCCCCGGCCTGACACGTTCCTGAAGCAAGCAGGTAGTTCTGGCTGGACAGCAGGCTATATCTGGGTGGCCTGCAGTTAGCAGCAGGGGCAGCAGCAGCCGTTCACCAATCGCGGCTGCGGAGCTAAGAGGCGCCTAGAGCCAAACAACATGGGTTTGAAGGCGGTGGAAATGACTCGGCTGTTTTGGATCGCCGCAACCTTCATGGCGCTTCTTTGGGGGTAAGCTCTGAGAGGAGGACAAGACCGCTGCGCACTCTCGCTTAAGCTTTGAACCGCAGTGCGCGCGAGGTTTGGTTTCCAGCGATTTGAGTTTAATTGTTGGGCCGACCTTTCCACCTCATGCATTATCTGTTTCCGCACTTTCGTGAAACGAAATTTATAAAGCTATTACCGGATGCTGTTATAAGGATTCTTGTTTCCTGGGTTTCCGACTGCGGCTCTTGTTTTATGTGATTATTTGTTCACGTTCACAAGAAAGCTTCTGATAACCCACAACTTCATAACTAATATTGCAATCGCTCTAAATTTGCAGGTTGCCTGGTGCTAGGGCGCAGCCCCCTCCTGCCGCCCCTGTAGTCGCTTCTTCGACTCAGATAGGGCTCATCACTTACTTCCCCTACTTTGAGTGCATTCGGATTCCGGCTTCCTACAGCTTGGCTCCCGTTGTGACCTACAAGGGCAGCGGCCAGTACTGCTTCACCATCTTGGCCGCCAGCTGCACTCGCAACCAGTGCTGCAATAGGGATCTGAAAAAGATTGAGGTGAGGACGCGACCGTTGTGAGATCTTGGTTGTAGCGAGCATTTTAAAGTTTTCGGTTTCTGTTTATTGTCCTTGGGTTTCGCCGGTTTAGTATGGCTTGCTTTCTTACAACAAACTCCACACACGACGCCTTTGGGTGCTCTTGGGTCCGTCGTTATGAGAGTATACTTCTCACCAAACGAGGACTGATACGGCTCAATGGGTTGTCCTGCATGATTGGCAAGCTTCGTATGGATAGACGGAGGCGAGGGTCAAGGCCGCCGCGCTTTGATGCTTGAAATGTATTGGTGATGTCGTGGGTTTCGCCGGGGCAAACGCTTGTACTAGTCCTTTGTCCTTGTAGCAAGCGTCCTCTGTCTTTCTTCGCAGTTCAACGTGTACGACAGCTGCGTCGTAAGCGGCGCTTCCGTGTCGGCGACCGTCAACGGCGTCCCTACAAAGGTCGGGCCCAGCTTTGACAAGCCGTACAACGGACCCGTTGGCAGTGCCCTACTGCGCGTAACGCAGCTTGGACTAAACATGACGAGCAACGGCACCGAGATATGCTTGACCCTCAAGCCCAACCGTGCCGGCCAAGGCTGTACGACATTGGAGCAGCTATGTGTTCCGCCCAACGGCATGGCGCCTGGCTCGTGCCTGACCGCGATGTTCGACACGACCCTTGACTGCTGTACGACATCCCGTACTGGGACGAATGTCGCATCGCCGGGTACTCCGTACCCTAGCCCCTCCACATCCCCATTTCCCCCGTCTCCCTCGCCTCCCTCTCCTTCGCCTCCCTCTCCTTCGCCACCGTCGCCTTCGCCTCCCTCTCCTTCGCCTCCATCTCCCTCGCCACCCTCTCCCTCGCCTCCCTCTCCTTCGCCACCGTCGCCTTCGCCTCCCTCTCCTTCGCCTCCATCTCCCTCGCCACCATCTCCTTCGCCTCCCTCTCCTTCACCTCCCTCTCCTTCACCTCCCTCTCCTTCACCTCCCTCTCCTTCACCTCCCTCTCCCTCGCCACCATCCCCCAAGCCGCCATCTCCCTCGCCACCATCCCCCAGCCCCCCCTCTCCATCACCTCCGATTTCCTCTTGCGACATGTGTATTGACCTGACGATTGATCCAGCCCGAGTGTTTCCGCCGTACCAGTTTGACAGTTTCACATGTGAAGTAGTGCAGACCTCTATTTCGTACGATATTAACGAAAAGGCCGCCTCGATGGGCCTTATGCTGGCGCAAAACTTCTCGGTCGACGCCAGCAAGTGCAGCTCTGATAAGATCATTGTTTGCGGGAAGTTTGCTTCGGAGTCTGATGCTGCGCAGCTGGAGGAGTGGACTCGAATTCAGGCGGAGCAGTTTTGGCTGTACTCGTTTGCAAGCGCCTGCACTCCCGTCATGTATGGCTACTCGTTCCGGATTACGACCGACAAGTGCATGGATGTTGTAAAGTCGCGGACTTGCTCTTTGGTACAGAGCGATTTTCCTTTTTGCGGGTAAGTGGGGTTGAAAATCAGGGTGTAACAATTTGTTGGTGTTCGACGAGTAGTTCGTGTAACGTCTTCATGTCGGCGTTTGGTAATTATGCAATTCGTTTTTGTCTATGAGCTGAGTTGCCGTCCTTGCGTGCTGCTAAACGCTCCAACGTTGTTGATACAACAGGTGCCAACGGAAACGCTACTCGACACCCTTCTACGTGAGCCCTTCGGCGTCGTCTGAGCAAGGCCGTACAAGTGATACGACACTGTACTGCTTCACCTTGGGCGTCCTTCCAAATGAATTTGCTCTGCTGCCGGTAGGCTACAACACAATTGCATTAAGTGGGCGCAAGAGCTCTGCTTTACTCTTTCCCGTCGTGTGACCCTTTCACTTTTGTGTTCATGCAGGGCCGCTGCAACTCGAGCAGTAAGGTGGCCAAGGTCGAGATTTGGGCTAGTGAGTTTGTGCCGCGCGAACGAAGGACAGACTTTGATTGTTTGCTGCCCTCGTTGTGTAAACCGTTGTTTCTGTTTCTGTGCGGCATCTTGCTCAGTGCTTGGTCTTGCGCTGACGGCCTTACCATTGGGCACGTCCATGACCTCTGTCTTGCGCAAATGGTTGCTCACCCGCTCTATCAATTTACCTGCGCTTCAGACGAGGACCGCCGCGGCAAGCTGCGGGGATTTCGCCTCTCGACTCCCGACGGCAAGACCAGGTGGCTGTCCCCATCCTGGGGCGACAAGGGCAGCAACACGGCCAAAGGTAGGCAACGGATACTGGTCGCCATTACTACATGAACAGCGGCATTCCTGCGCCTTCCTCGTGCGTCTTAACTAGCTGCAACAATACAGGTGCTGCTGACCGCCGCTTGTTCTTTTTTCCTGCTTGTTAATCATGGCCTATCAGCGTACATACGAGGACTTTGCAATTTACTATTGCTAGGTCGGTTATTTATTTTTACTAGCTTATTTATTGCTACATCGTTTATTTTTATTTACCCCGCCTTCCTCCCGCAAATTCTTAACCTCACTGCGTGCAGTTTCTGGCCTGACTTGGAACCGGGCAACTGCTAACGGTGCAGAGATTTGTATGGAGCTGAAGAACGATATCACTTTGCAAGAGTTTTGCGTGTCTAATGTCTGGTAAGTCAGTGTGACGTGCTTCGCAGTGCTTCGCTCGCTCGCTCCTGGCCGTTGCTGTGCGAGCTGCTGCTGCTGCTTTTACGCCGTTGTATTTCCCCGAGTTCTTGCAACGGTCCAGTATTAGATCGTACCCCACGCGATCCTATGCAAGGCGTGTTTGAACGCGCGCACGTGTTCCGCGTATTGAAGTGCTTTCCCGCCCTCTTCCCCGGCCTCTACCTCGCATGGCATGCACTGCTCGACTACCAACCTAACTACGTGGACGGAATGTGCACAGCTCCATCTCACTGTTCGATGGCCACTCTTCAAACGCCTGCTGCCCTACATACCAATCAGCTGTGGCTTAGGGTCAACGTTCATGAGTACGGTCAACATTTCGGTAGTCGTTGGGCGGCAGCATTCGCAACATGGCTTGGAGAAATGAAAAAATAAAGCTTCTTCTTGATTGGGTGGTAATGCTTTGTTTTGGGCTGATCGGTACCGCGTACTTACCACACGCGCTTGCGCCTCTTATTGATCGCATAATAACCTTTGTGGAAGGGCGGGCAGTAAATTCTTGAGTGCAGGTTTGAGTGCAGGTTTGCCAGCAAGCGCATAGAAAGGTAATTTATATATCTTCTTTTTCCTGCTTACTACACATTCGTATGCTTTGTATGCTTTTGCAGTATGCGTGCGCGGCAGTGATGCTAGGTTTGAAGCATCTTCGTCTCATTTCTCCTTCTATTTACGGCTGCCAAATTGTTATGTTCCTTATCATTGTTTGATCAAGCTTATCGTCTTGCTTCCGTTTCTAGCAGCGTGTTTTGCGTCTCCTGTCGTCTGCTGCTGGTGTTCGCTTGCGCTAACTGATAGCTTAGTAATCGTCTTGCATGCAACTACTGTTATATCTTGCGCCCCAAGCTTACTTGCCATCCTGGCAATGTCATCGGCGGCGGGCCGCCCCATTGATATGGCACACTTGGCTAATGCGTGTGAAGAAGGACTCACGTGCAGACATCGGTTTCGTTT